TACTAAATGGAAAGACACCAGCAGAACAATATTTAAACAGAAAATTCAGAATCCGTTTAGACTCAATGTTTCTTCATATTCCTACACCGAATCAAGACCTGCAAAAACGTCGTGCACGTTCACATCAAGCGGGAGAGGACATTGTAGCCGAATTTTACATACAAAACAAACGGACCTGGAAGCCAGGAACGGTAGTAAAATGCCTAGGGAAATTACATTACCTTGTCCGATTAGAAAACGACCGAATAGTGAAACGACACGTAAACCAGCTCAGAAGAAATGCACCTAAGCAAGTAACCTTCAACCTACCAGAGGAGCCACAAATCCAAAAACCATTGGAATATGAAGAAGAATACCAACCTGCCATTTTACCACGTAGTTTAGATCGACAAGAAATGGAGCAGATTCTGATTCCAGAAGCAGATCGTCCAGAACCACCACGAAGATCAAATCGAAACCATAGACCACCACCCTACCTGAGCGATTACCAGATGAATTATATAGCAGGGGAGACTGTAGTGAATATTAAGAGGTCTCCACTGGAGAAAAAAACAAGCGTACCAACTGACGCTTCCAGTTAGTTTTTTTTGTACGTGCAGTGACATGTTAGATTTTTAATGTGAATAAAAATATATAACTTTGCTGTGTTGTACCGCGGGTTAATTTTCTATCCACCCACTTTCGTCATGAGCATTGGTCACCACAGCATGTTTTGCGGTTACGTAGCAAGAAAGGCAAGGAAAGCCACAGATGCAAAGCACTGCGATCAATGTGTAAATTATTAGGGAATTTTACTATTATAATTGGTAACGGAACCTACCGTACCGGGAGAACTTCATGTATATATGTATGTAAAAATGCACCAGCTCAAGTACACCTTAAGGCAGATGCAGCACCGGTTTTTGTTCGCGCCCGAGAGATACCTTTGGCCTTACGTTCCATATATGCTAAGGAGATCGATGACAAGATAGCAGCTGGATTCTTCGAAAGGGTCGATTATTCAGAGTGGGCTTCGCCAACTCATGTAGTAGTGAAGAAAAATGGTAACATTCGCATCACTGGGAATTATAAGCCAACCGTAAATCCACGGATGATCATTGACGAGCACCCCATCCCGAAAGCGGAACACATTTTTGCTCGGATGAAGCATTCCAAACTTTTCTGTCATCTGGACATCACTGATGCCTATACACACTTAGCAGTTGATGACAAATTTCGCGAAGTATTGACGTTGAATACACCAACCCATGGTTTGATTCGTCCGACCAGAGCTATCTATGGAGCAGCGAACATCCCAGCCATATGGCAACGTCGGATGGAAACGGTTTTGAAGGACCTTCTCAATGTCGTAAACTTCTTTGATGACATCCTTGTCTTTGCCGAAAGTTTTGAACAACTGCTGAGAACACTTCAAGCCACCCTGGACCGAATGCGCCAACATGGGTTACGCCTCAACCGATCAAAATGTGTCTTCGCCACAAACTCAGTAGAATTCTTAGGACACAAAATCGATGAACGAGGTATTCACAAATCTGACAGCCATATTCGAGCAATACGAGACGCACCAAAACCGTCAACGCCAGAGGAATTAGAATTGTTCATTGGTAAAGCAACCTATTACAATCATTTCATTCCAGACCTAGCAACGATAAGTCGTCCACTCAGAGATATGTTGCTGGCAGAATCATTTACATGGACACCTGAAGCAACACAGGCTTACAACGAATTAAAAAATATTTTAATTTCGCCACAAGTCCTGATGCCTTATGATCCATCTCTCCCACTAGTATTGGCAACAGACGCAAGTAAAATGGGTCTAGGAGCAGTCTTGTCGCATCGCTTGAGCAACGGTGTAGAAAGGCCAATTGCTTACGCAAGCCGCACATTGAGCCTTACAGAACAGCGGTATCCTCAAATGGATAAGGAGGCTCTTGCCATCGTCTGGGCAGTCGATAAATTTTTAGCGCATTTTTGAAAAAAATACGCTATTATATTCGTCATTGCTGGCAGGCCGGCTGTCCGCGTTAGATCTCCACAACTACAATAGCTAGAGACATCAAATTTTCACTAAAAGCTTTCTGCTATAGTGTAGATGTGCAGGCACTAGTCTATTTTGAGTTAGATTACTTATGAGATCGATAATTGAAGAAAATAATTTCGATATGGGTTTCGTAGGTGCTATAATTTTACCGTTAGATAGCGCTACCAGTATAAAAACTTATTATTTACTTTGTGATTTGTTTTACAAAATGAAGACGTACCGTCAATTGAAATTAAATAAAATTAATTATTTAACGCAGCCAAAATTACTCGTGAGATCGATAATTTTAAACTTCGCTAATAAAATACTCACCTGCATTACCAAAAATGCGCTTTAATCATGCATATGCTGATTTACAACTTGTTTTATTATATATATGCTCGCCATTTTGTCTTAATAACAGATCACAAACCTCTCGCACAAATTCTTCAGCCTACGAAATCTCTTCCAGTTTTGTGTATTAGTCGAATGGCGAACTATGCCGACTATTTGTCACATTTTAATTTCGATGTTCAATACAAGCCAACTAAACTTAACACAAACGCTGACTATTGTTCTCGCTTACCAGTAACAACGACCCACAAATCAACACATGCTGTGTCATCAATCGTACTGGAGAGAGAGGAAGAAGAAGACGGGTTTGACAACTTCACCCTAAATCAAATTAAACAATTACCTGTTCGAGCTAAAGACATATCTAGGGAATCGCGGAAGGATGATCATTTGGGGAAAATAGTACAATTGTTGGAGAGGGGACGAAATCTTGGTCGCTATGGATACAAGGCCCCCGAAAAGAACTACACCCTCTCTGGTGGATGTTTGCTGTTTGAACACCGAGTTGTCATTCCGCCAATCTTCCGTCAACCTATCTTAAACGATCTACATGCTGCACATGTCGGCATTGTAAAAATGAAAGGAATTGCTCGATCCTTTGTGTACTGGCCTGGGATCGATGGAGAAATTGAGCAGGTCGCAAAATCTTGCAATGAATGTGCAAAACATGCACACGTACCTCCAAGATTTCGAGAACACCATTGGGAGTACCCGAAAGGGCCTTGGGAGCGCGTGCATATTGATTATGCTGGGCCAGTAGCCGGCATGATGTTACTAATTTTAGTAGACGCATATAGCAAGTGGGTTGAAGTAAAAGTAACAGCGTCGACTACAGCCTCATCAACTATAACCATCCTCGACGAATTATTTGCAACATACGGCGCACCAGTCACCATTGTTTCGGACAATGGTCCTCAGTTTACATCTGAAGAGTTCAAACAATTTCTCCAGTGGAGTGGAGTGAAATATCACAAGTTGTCAGCTCCGTATCACCCATCAACGAACGGTCAAGCAGAGCGCTTCGTACAAAGCGTGAAAGATGCTCTTAAAGCAATGGGCACTAACCGAGATACGTTGAAATCAAACCTTAATGAATTTCTACGCCAGTACAGAAAAGCCCCAAACGCTACCACAGGACAACAACCCTCTCTTCTTTTCCTTGGTCGTGTCATACGTTCGCGACTAGACTTGGTGAGACCCGAAGATACGTATACCAGAATGACGGAAAGAAACCGTAACTCGTTTAATCCATCATTTCGCGAGTTTCAACCAAATCACCTGGTTTACTTCTTATCTGGAAATCCACGACTGGATAAATGGTTACCTGGACGTATTATAACACGACTAGGTGATCTGCATTACGAGATCGACTTTGAAGGTAAACGCTTTAAACGTCATATTGATCAAATCCGGTCATGCCAACAAACTACTAGTCAAAGTTCTAACCAATCTATGACGACATCTTCAAGTGATAATTCTTCAGCACAGAGACGAGTTCATTTCTATAATAAACCTGAACTGGTTCCTGAAAGAGCTGCAGAATTACCCGAAGCACAAGCTGTTGCGATTCCGCCAGGATCACCAGCTGTACCTCAACGACAGGAGTTCCAGGCCGCGACTCTACCCCAGACTGAACGAAGGTCCACGCGGATTCGGCATGCACCCCGACGATACTCTCCTGATTAAGAAAACAAAGGAGGGAAGAATTGTAATGTATTAGGGAATTTTACTATTATAATTGGTAACGGAACCTACCGTACCGGGAGAACTTCATGTATATATGTATGTAAAAATGACAGTGCACAATAAATGTAATTATGTTGAATTATATTTTCGTATTTTACAAGTATCGTACATAACACAATGCTTTGGATTGCTGCAAGCTGACCAGATATGCGACAAAAATGAAAATAATTCCTACATTAACAAAAGGAGTGATGGACATTTACTCACGCCATCTGAGGGATTATATGAAATAATTTATAATCTTGAAAGCTCTATATGCCATACACTGCATAACACACCATTAGGTGACAATATTCTGTTTGAAGGTAAGCAAAGTCTTAACTGAATCACCATAACACAGTGCTTAAATATTTTTTCTAATATCGACTAGTTTTTATTGATTTTAATCCCTAATTTTTGTGCATTAACAGGTAATTTTAATCCCTAGGAATTAAGAAAAATTTTATCCCTTGTGATCATGACATATTGTTAAATAGCCTACCTTACTTTTTGATAGTTTTTTTTATAATATAAATCATACTCATTTCGAAATGAATTTAGAACGGTCGGTGTTGGAAAACATAGTATAAGTAACACTGGATCAAACTAATTTTTGGTCCCTCAAGAATATTAACTCTTTTTAATCCCTTGTTACTTAATATACTATTGCATGTTGCTTGCACGATATTAACTTTTTTAAATTATATTTTACTTTTGCAGTTATTAAAAATGCCAAACTTAATACCTACAAACCAGTGGGCTGTGAACTACACAAAAGGAAATTGACGAAAGACCTTTTACGGTTTTATCTAACAACTCGCATGATTTTTACATGCATACAATATAACAAACGCAGACTAGAGGATGCGGATAAAAGAAAAAAAATTAAAGATTCGATAAAGAAATTTAAAATTGTATAAATAAATTTGAGCGGCATAGCTGTTATTTTATTTCAATGACAATCTTTCACCCATCTGAACGCTTTGTTGCCTACATGCAGGCGGAAAAACTTTGAACATTTTTTTTTGTACTGGAGAAACAAAATGAAGTTGCTGCCGTAAGGTAAAATCATAATCCATGGGTACACTAACACATTGTATAAGGTACAACATCAGAAATCTTTAAATAATGATTATATACATAAAAAACGTAGTATCTCCCATAAGACTCCATAGTAAAACCAGCCTACGACTGGAAGGTAGGCAATAAGCATGCGAGGTCAGATTTGGTAAACGCGCTTCCTATAGAGTGCCGCCACCGTTATGAATCCACCTTGCCACGTAGGATTCCGGAATTGAAGTAGACAACACACAATACACCGCGCCTTGGCAGGTATCATCCGTGAAATATTTAACCGGCAGTTTATCCTTCTCTTCCCCCAGTTACCTTTCGAGGGGTTGTATAAAGAATTCTTAAACATAATACTTTGTAAATGTGTCTTACCTCCAACACGTCAACTGTAGCTAATTTAACCTTATTTTCAAGTGTTGCATTTCATCCCTTTCGGTGAAGCGTCATTTGACTCTGATGATAACCGGGGATGGAATGAAACCGCTGGAGAACGCTTGGAACCATTTTCCTACATAGTTGGAATGGAGTATATGTAGACCACACATGTATAACAAAGAGCTGGCTTTCTAGAGACCATTATGAAACCCCGTCTCTCCAAAGCTTTGTGGAAAATACCCTCTTCTTCCAATCACTAAAAATTACTTAGAATTACCGCGTAATTTGAGCCAAATAAGCGTTGAACACTACGTTCAATTGGTTAAATCATAATTTGCGGAATATTTTTCTCAGTTGTGCACTCTTATAAGCAGAGATACCTGTTTAAAATGCATTTCTCAGATAAAAAACTTTGTTTGCATCACAGTCATTAGCAGTAATCCGAATTCAAGGTAAGTACCTACGTGCTACAGTTCACCTTAATTGCCGATAAACAAATTTAACCTTTCTACTTGCAAAATAAATTCATTATTTGAACTTGAGGGAGTTTTATGCAGTGGTCAAGACCGAACTACTTCATAAGTAGGCCAACTATCTTTATCCTGTCCCAAACCATGACCGTCAAGTGAAATGATTACAAGTACCTATAAGACTGGCGACAAGTCCAAGAGGGTGTTAGAGTGTTGAATGCTATTTGAAATGTTTAATTTGTGAAGTTTACGTGCGAGTTTAATAATCCCATCTGCAAATATAGTAAGTTGCTTCCTTATTGTGTTTAATATAACAGGACGCCAAAGGAATTTGTTGATTTTTATAACACATTACATACATTATTGCTATGTTATGCTTCAGTTTACCGTGTGCCCTTTGATTTGTAGAGGGATGACTGGTTAACTGATTGCAATATTTCTTTCGTTGTTTTGTTATGATCTTTCCATAAATATATAAAAGAAAAGGTTATGAGTATATAGTTACGTGCTTAATAAATACAATTTAACCGTATTACTCGCATACCTAATTTTTAAGCATAATTATGATTTTCTCACGGAAACCATTATTAAGCAAAGAATTTACAGATTCCATTGATGTAATTCTTTGTACCTACTTACAAAAGTAAATTTGATTTTGTTATTTCATATTTTCGGGCCATTCAATTACCTGCTAATAAGGACTAATCCCATTGTTCGCTCGTGTCGCAAACGTAAACTTTCTGAATAATAAGCGCCGTAATATATACTTGTAATGCGTGTAATACCCGATGTGCGAGAATTTTAGATTCGAATAATTGACAAAACCCTTTCGCACTGTTAAGTAGGTACAATCATCATTTGATGCGACACCGCTGCCTTCTTTTCTGCTTGACGAAACTGGTAACTTCATACCCATACAAAGCATAAGTATTTCCAACGCTCGGAGGGTTCGTAGGGTCTTACTAAACATTAAATATCGCTGTAATAAATAATATAGTGTAAGTACCTACACTATGATAATATGTATAATTGACAATGATCTTAAAGCCATTTTATTTACTTCGAAGCTATTAAAAAGTTCGACGATTTTAATGCCTAATTTTCTTTTAAACAATTGTGAACCAGCCGAGTGGGCCAAGCTCGCCTTTGATATAGAGGTGGACCTACTCTATATTCCCCAAGAAGTCTAACTGACATAATAAAGAGAAGTGTACACTTTGTAATGGGTTTACAAATGACAATTCAACTCATGTATAAAAAATCGCATAAGCCGCAGTGAAATTGTCACTTTGACAGCGGCAAAAGTTACCTGCAACTTTTCCAGCGACAAATGCACTAGTGGTTTTTTCACTTATTCATTTTCGAACCAATTATCGCATTATCCTTTCCCCTAGTTTGACGTCTGTCAATAATTGATTAGTTTGGTGAATTTCTTGTTCGTTAAATTGTCCTGCCGAATTACACTCGAGGTTTGTATTTAAACCGAGTAAATTTGTGTTGTTGCAATTCAAATCTGTTGCCTTTTAGCAATTGAACTCGAAAAACTGTCAACCTAAAAATGCTCCACCTGCGGTGTCGCATTTTTATTAGTTGACAGTTTTTCTCGTCTAATTGCTAGGCAACAGATTTTCATTACCTAAACAACCCAAATTTACTCGGTAAAATACAAACCTCTTGTGCAATTATAAGTGATTAAAGGCGACACTTAAATTTCACTATTAGAAACGTTTATTTGGGTAACTACAGAGCTATTCACACGGCCAAGTTTACTGAATAAAATTAACGAAATTTTCATGGAAATTACTTAGAAAAAATTATATCTTTGTCATTAATAATAAGCAAAAATTCTAATTTATTAATGAAATCTTTTTACCTTGTGGTTTACATGATTAAACGAATCAAAAAAAAATCAATTTTTACAGCGAGGACTTGAACAGTGCTCTTTTTAAATTGTTTTATGCAGTTGATGTTTTCTGACGGACACAAAAATGGACAATGGTTACAGCTTGATTATGTGGATACGTCGAATGTCTTAGACTGGTCTCGAAAATGGAAACGGCATGGAATTTTTCCGGATAACTACGCGTGCCATTAGGCGCCAATATCATTAAACGTGTTATACACAGGAGGTAGTGATTACATTATGCAGTGCAGGTCCGTTCACAAATTCCACTGATTTTTTTATCTATGCACCTTGACTACTTCACAAATTTACGGATGCCTTACTGAAAAATTCGTTACGGTACTACGCGAGTAAAATTCCTACTGTATACCTATATTATACTTCGTATACGATTGAAAAACATTAATCAGGCTGCATTTTCAATTTCAGAACATGCAGAACTTTTTATGAAGAATAACTTTTTAGCGCATTTTTGCAAGTGTTAGTAAAAAAGTAGCTTTTAAACTCACTTTGTCCGGCTGGGTGGTAGCAAATGCAAGTGCCCAAAAATTAAGTACTATTTTGTGGAGGGTTTTTTTGTGAAATCCACAAAAAACTAATTACGGATGAACGGGACGTCGAAAGCGAGTAGATACCGACAAGTGGTAGCCCCTGACAACATTTGCTGATGGTGGAGTCAACATTTCAAACGCGAATTGCGGGTGACTGGGACGTCGAAAGTGAGTACCGGCAAAGGGAATGTGGTAGGCCCGATAAGATCTTTCTGATAGTGGAGTCAAAACTTCAAACGCAGATTGTAGGTGAACGGGGCGTCGAAGGTGGGTACCGGCAACGGGAATGTGGTAGCCTTCGACAAGATCTTATTGATGGTGGGGTCAAAACTTATTTTTCCAATTTTCCGTCTTTATTATGTAAAAAATTGAAAACTAATACGGTTGATTGACGTAAAACAATTTTTTCTACAGAAAACTTTAATACATTTTTGCTCTAAAATAATTTGGGGAGCCAATAATCGCATGTTATGAATTTTACATTGAAATCCCTATGATGCGTTACGCAAGTCACCACCCTGTATAATTATGATTAGTTAAATAATTATATCCCTGATTATATCATTTTTATCTTTGGTTCCCAGGTACATGAAATTAGTTTTATCTCCACCTCCACCTAATCTGAAGGTTATGTGTTTTGGTATCATCAAAATGTCTCTTTTATGAGGAGAAAATTGTTTTGCGCAGTTGCTTGCTTTCGTGTTGTGGAGAAAATCTTATCATTATTCTTGTGTAATTTTACCTTGACATAATACCCATTTGACTGACCCGTAAATATACAACCGGGCGTACGCCGTGTTTAATCTAAACTCGTGAGTTTTGAAAATTGCGCGTTCAGTGCGATTTTATGATAATGAATCCCGCCCGTTTTCATCTGGTTCCAATTAAATAATCGAAAGCGATTCTTCTCGCTGGAATATTTAAAACGCTACTTTAATCCAACACCTCGTATGTAACTGAATCCATATCAACTAAAATCGGATGGTACCATGAATGTCGAAGTTCAATATGATGATAGTAAAAGGTAACGTGTATTCAAACCTTCGTTTTATTAAAAATTTACCTCTTGTTTCAGTAAAGACGACTGTACCGAAATGTGTAATAAGACAGCCGACACCGAACCCTTGCAAAAGGAAGGCAATGCAGAAAGCGAAGTTGAACCTAAGGATAGTAGAAGACTGATCACTCAAGTAATACTCAATTTTGAGACCGAACTTTTTGAAGCACAGCAAAAGCGAATGAATTAATAGTAGGTATTTTAGATCCTCCTGACGGCAATAGTAACGATAGTAACAGCAAGTGCCGGGATGCCAATTGGTTACTCAGCAATACTGTTGCCACAGCTTAAATCAATGAATGGCAGTTTGCAAGTCGATGATGAAATGGGATCATGGATTGGTAAGTCGTTTATTTTATGTAATGGACAAATTTGGCAAAGTGGGTGTCTTGACCTAGTTGCATTCGTAAATATATAAGGTTGGTTTGATGTAAATATTGACCTTTCTTGCGTGCGAGATTATTATCACACATACACGTCCAGAAAACTGTAGGAGCCTTGATAGGAGCTTTTGGTTTTTAAGACATTATAATTGGATATCAGATCGGTAAGGCCATAAAGTGGAATGATCAGACTTCTGCTTTAACATAGTCTTCATCTGTCCAATTCGCAATAGTTAGAAAAGTTGATTCCAAACCAGTCGTGATTTGAATTTGAATATTTTAGCATTAGGTACTTATCTATTTATCGATATTACACATTTTTCGAGGTAACAAAGGTTTGGAAAATTATCCCACTTCCGCTTTCCCCACAATAGCCGCCAGCAGCGGTACTAAAATACAGTACATACAGTACCTATTTTGATACGAGTAGCTTGGTTGTCATGTGTTTGACACCAATTAATATTTGTGGAATTTTGTAATTTTATTCTCCGCAACGTTTTTACCCAATGTGGCGAATATTGCAGTACCTATTTTGTCGTAAAGAAATAGTTTTTTAAACACACGCAAAAACTGTTACTTCATAATTTACACCCCTAATTTCAACTCCCCAAGCCGGGTTGCCACCCCTTCAATAATTTTAAATTAAACGTTGGGTCGAGTGACACATTGGAAAGGGTTCTTAATTTTGTGCAGTCCTCCATAAAGAGCAATTGTGAAACGCCGCTTACCTGCAAATATAATCTGCATTGGTATATTGCTGGCCAAGAAAATCGCCGCAGTGTGATCAAGTTCTCGATGTGGTTGAAACATAGTGACACTTTTTGCCATCAGTACTATAGGATTTTTTTTCCAAATTACAGTTTTGGTAATTTGTTCATGTAAAAATTCAATGTTTGTGTAAAGTCATAATTTTGTTTAGTAACTCCATTAATGATAGGCCGCCCGCCCAATATTTCGCTAAAGCGATTGGTCAGGTTCACTTGGGAAAGGGATCGTTTCATAAACTTACTGAAAATTATGAAATTTTGCAAAAATCCTGTAACTTGATAAAATGACCACATTTTAAAACGATGTATCTCCGAAATTATCGATCCTATAAAAACTGGCTTGATTGTTGCAGTTTGAACCTACTTTAAAAATCACATTAAACATCAGTTTGATGAAAAGTCAATCTTTTCGGTTCAGAATCGACAGAAAATGAAAAAAGGCGTAAGATGAAAAATGTAACGTCCCGTTATTTCGTTGAATGTACCTATCCTTAGTTTGAGTAACTGACTTTAGCGTGTTAGGAATGTAGTTGGTACAACTAGTCCTGGGGGAATATCAAACGTTGCTTCTGTAGTTGAAACCTCATGTTACAAATCTAGAGGAGTCAAGCTGAAATTGTCTGAAATATATATATCTAAATGTATTTAGGTGAATGGGCTACTGTTGTATCTTTTCGAGGTAAAGTTATTATCATAGGATTTCGTATTTGGTTTCACGTTTCTCTTTATGTTATACCATGTGTTTTTGAAATATACGTCGTCGTTTGTGAAGTCAATAAAATGGAGACGTATTGTTCCTGTCTCACTGCACGTATTAAGGAAACCTTTGGAGATTACTTCTTCGATATGCTTTTATACACAACTTTGTACGGACGATTCGTTATCGATCAAAATTTTACTTTTGTTTAGTTAACGTAAATTGAATTATTGATCCTTATTGAGTATTAATTACTGTTTTAATATACTATTACCTGATTAGTGTCAGACGTTAAACATTGCTACCGCAGTATTTTGTACCGCGATATTCACACTCCATCTTGTTTGCTTCTTTGTGTTTCTGTTACGGATAAGGCAGAAAAGCGCTCTTCTGAGCTCAAAAGGCCGTGTCAACTGGATTTCAAAAGTAATTTTTATTTTCGACGACTCATTAATATCACGCGTAATAACAACCCCAAACTTAATCCTTGGCTAGTCAACTCCAAAAGTGTATTAAAAATGATTAGTTTTAATAGTAACAATAATAACCGATGACATTATTTCGTCATTTGCGTCAGTGTTATATGTACAATAATTATCAAATTCAAGGCAACATGAACTTGTTACATATGAATTGCAATCTATAATAGCTCCAAATGTTTACATAGCAGCACAAAATTATGAACTAGAGTAATTGAGCATAAAATAATGTAGAGATATCCAGCTGTTCAAAATCAAATATATACATGAAGTTGTATTACTGACAAACCATAACAACAAGACAAAATGTGTACTAGGGTAGGCAAAGATCTTCAATTTGTAATACGGAAAACATAGGTATGTGAAGTTGGAGTTCTGTTCTAAAGAGTTAAATAACTAAAAAACCATAAAAACACAACACATGTATCATACGGCAAAAATAGCACACAATAAGCATAGCATTAAGGCACAAAAAGATTTCCAGGATCGAATGGGTTAGCTAAATCAGGTTACCCTATCAAACCCCTTAGGCTCACCTACCACTAACTAAAAAAAGGGCAATTAAAGTCTTTATTTAACAACAACTTACGGACACTTTCCTTTGAAAATAAGATAATATTAGCCTTGGAGTTTTAACCAAGGTATGTTTGTTTTTAAAACTGTTAAATATGAAACAACGTGATCATTATTAATACACGCTGTGTAATTATTATTTATACTATTGGGTTTATAACTTTTTCGAATATGTACCACAAGTATGGGTTAATTAATTTTTTTAGTGGGGATAGGTGGGGTGAGTCCTCTTTTATCTCATTTTAGTTCCCCCTGTTGTAGTAGTAGTTAATAATAAGTAGTAGAGGGAAAAATAGTGCTAGTATGTAAGATTAGAATGTAAGCAGTAGCAATTAGTTACTCTTTGGCAGTAGTATTGCAGTAGTAGGCAATAAAGTCGAGTGGTCAGAGAAAGCGTTTTTCCTTCGGACTCCAGACGAGTCCGAACAGAAGGATTAATACCCTATCATTACACCCCTTTATATCTTTTCTATAAATGGACAGGGATAATATGCCCCAAAAATACATTATATTCGCTAATTCTATTGTTTCAGTCAGTGTACATTCGGCAGCTTCGCCCATCGGTGCGCTACTCAGTGGAACACTGATGGACTACTTCGGTCGAAAAATGACCTTACAATTATGCTGTATACCTTTAATAGCCGGATGGATTGTTATTATGTCTAGCCATAACCATGCACTAATTCTGGTTGGGCGAATTTTGGCCGGTACTGCTGTGGGAGTAGTCGCAGCACCTTGTCAGGTATACAATGACGTTCTTTGAGTTTTGGGAACTCCATTTACGTTTTTCAAGGTGTACATTGCTGAAATGTCGGATCCTAACTTGAGAGGTATGTTTTCTAGTATACCCTTCGCGAGTTACTCGTTTGGAATTCTACTTGTCTACATGTTGGGAACAGCGGCTAATTGGAGAATGGTTGCCGGTAACAGAATCTGCAAACAAACTTGTTGACCATGATCCAAATTGCAGGCATTTGCATGGTGCTCCCAGCGATGTCGATGATATTGTTTTGTTGTCTTCCCGAGAGTCCAGCGTGGCTTGTGAAAAAGGGGCGTATAGAAAAAGCCACGAGATCTTACCATTGGGTGAATGGCGGAAGTACAGCTAAAGTACTTTGAACAAACGCGTTACAAAATGTTACGTTTTGACTTCTTTCAGGTGAAGCGGGAAATACAACAGCTGGTGACACGTGTCGAAAATGAAGGTGCACAAAGTAAAGCCACTCAACGATCACTTTGGAGAACCTTTCTATCATCAAATGTTCTAAAGCCTTTTATTATAGTGAACATTTTTGGTCTGTTTCAGTCGCTCACAGGAGTTTACGTGATTGTCTTCTACGCCGTTGAGATCATATCTACCATGCAGAACAGTGGCTTAAATGAATTCCACGCGGCAACTTTAACGGCTGGTGTCAGATTCATTGCCGCGATCGCGGCTAGTGTTTTATTAGTACTCACTGGACGCAGAGCTATCGCTTTATTATCGACTATCGGAACGGCACTATCGGCTCTCTGCCTATCCATATTCCTACAGACCGACTTTTCCAACTCAACGTACCTAATCCTTTCTCTCTTAATATTTTACGTTGCCGCAAACACCATCGGTCTGATGATTCTACCAGGAGTACTTGTGGGTGAATTGTTTCCCTTAAAAGTACGCGGTATCGCGGGCAGCCTTTCTTTCACCATCATCAATTTAACGATGTTCTCGTTCGCCAAGATATTTCCATTTATGAAATCTCTCATAGGAATCGGAAATTGTTTTCTGTTTTTCGGAGTGACGTCTATAGCGGGTAGTATATTTCTGTATGCGACGTTGCCCGAAACAAAAAATCAGACTTTGAATGATATAGAAGATTACTTTATGCAAGAAAATCTGTTGTGGATTACACGAAATAGAAGAAGACGGAATGGCGCCAGCAAAACCCAGACGTCGAAAGTTTAAAATTAAATGTGATAATGTTAATTTATTTAATTGTTGAAGATTGTATTTTTATAAAACGTTTTTAAAAAATCTTTTTGTTAAGTACGGTCATAGAGTAATTTACTCTATGGTAGGTACTGTTGAGGTTTGCAAGCAAATCACTGTACCCTAATCAGAATCAGCTGCAGCTGCCTCCTTCTGCTGGATCGGTAACGGTAACAGCGGTAGCATACTCTAGGATAGTAGGATATATTTCCTATAGAAGGGTTTTTCTTACTGCGACTGTGTATTTATATGCTTTTAATGCACACGATTGAACTTCATAACACCCTGCACCCGATCACGCATGATAAGGTAAGTAAGTGGATTTAGCTATTGACAATTCTTGAACTTTTAATTGTAAATTAAGTTCGAGTAATTGAGCCCACGATGTCACTGGATGTACCTAAAGTGACTCTACAATCTACATAGACAGCGTGGTCATACGGTGGTGATATTTTCTACTGGTAGTTGAGAGAACCGCCATATCAAACACACTGGATATGTGGAAATTAACTTGAAAACCAAAGTGATGAATTTATCTTGCTGAACACAGTTGGTACAACATTATTGTAACCGTAGGAAAATCGACTAATTCGGTTAAACCAATATTATTCGTGTGATATTGCCCTGTATGAGTCGAATAACCATTTTTTTCGTAGCAGTTCCGATTCTTCGCTGTATATGTTGATTCCTCATCTCCTACGCACTGTATCTCTTGTGTCTTAGCAATACGAGAACGGGAGCCCTCTAATTAATCCTTCTTCTGCTTGATATGTGGTTCTGTATGTGATAATCGACTTTAACATGACTTCAGTGATCTTTATGCCGTCATAACGTCATGATGCCCCACGCATCTGGAGTGATCACCACCCTAGTAGTGCGCGCTGACTGTCATAGAGTCGCTTAAAACCGGCTATTGCTTTTTAGGAGAGGGGGTAAACGAAATTTCATTTTTTTCGATTCTGCGTCTACTAGTAGAACGAGCTCACTTTTCAAAACGCAATCTCAATCCAGACTTCCGCATGTCCTTATGTCTCTCTGTCTGTTCTGCTGTACGTACATAATCATTCGCCAATTTCGTGCGTTTACAAATTTTGTTTAAATTTTATACAACGGCAGCGAATATATGTCGAAACTTGGTCCAAAATAAACAATTACGGAACATACGTTATCCAAAACTGTTATTAATATACGGATTTCCGTGAAAAATGAACGTCAATGGGCATTAAAATTTGCATACATTCGACTATTTGTTATGAGTGGCCCAACGAGAAGTATACAGAGGGCTTTTAGGGTATTAAATTTATAAATTTCGAAAAATCCTCGAACACGTCAATTTTGTATTCGAGGGGGACAACGTTTGGAATACAAATCACGAACCCAAGTCTTCACCCCTCTACGTAGGGAGCTTAACCCCTAAAATTTTAAATGGAATCCTATGGCAAATGGCACATTATTTGAAAGCCAATTTAATCGTGATTACTAATCTGCTTTGCTTTTTAAAGTCTATTGATTCGTTTCGGAGATATTCGCATTTGAAATGGTTTTTTTCCCCTGATTTAAATCCTTCAGATTACTTCTTGTGGAGCCCTCTGTATACGTCTCGTTGGGCCACTCTGTATTCTTTTCCTTTCACTAACAAACTACGAAATGTATTTTTTTAACAACTGCATAGGAATTAGTAATAAACAATGCATTGTTAGCAACTCCAATGTTTGATCGTTGATATGGACAAAGAGTAACCTTTGATATGGATTAGTTGTCACAGTACCAACGATACACGAAGAATACCATGGTATAGGTATCTACCTTGTTACATGCAAAACGGTGCTGGCACAAACATAAGATGCCAAGGTAGTACGGTAGCTCAGTGAAAGTAGGAGTTTTGTTATAGGCCAGAAAATCTAATTGATGAGCAAAGAGATTTACCAGTAGGCGCCACGCGCCATTATATTTAACCTTAGCTATGGTCAAAAAGTATACGTTATATACTCTTTGCTATGGTAGAATTGAACCGTTCACAATATATGTAGAACAACACTACAGAAATAAACGTTATCTGAACCACTGAACCAATAAATGTAAAATCAGATTATTAATGAGCTCCTAGCGACTTTATAATTTTGCGGTGTCTGTCTGTCCGTCCGTCCGTTAGCACGATAACTCATAAACGAATGGACCGATTACGATAAAATTTTGCAGGTGTATTCTTTATCAAATTTGTAGATCGGAGTTCGTGAATTCGCAATGTAGACCAAAAAATAAAGTAGGCCCTTTTGACATCTCCGTTAGTTATGAACCGAATTGGATGAAATTCAATATGCGCATAGCTTTAGCCATATAAATCACAATCCCAAAAGTTGAACCTAATCGATCAGCATTCACAGTGCCCTTTGCGCAACTCGAGCATTTACAGACCGAATTGCAAACTTTCTTAGTTATGAAGGTATTTAAATGAAATTTGATACATAGCCACTTGGAATAAAAGCAAATATAACGCCAGTTTCAAAATTTGGTTTTGCGCATACGCAGTGCCAACTTTCTTATTTATGGAGGCATTCAAATGAAATTTGGAATAAAAGCAAATGTAGCGCCATTTTCCAAATTTGGTTTTGTGTAGGATGTGCAGTGCCAGTGCTTTATTATTTATGGAAGCAATTAAATGAAATTTCATACATATACACTTTAAATAAAAGCAAAACTAAGATCAGGTTTAAAATTTGGTTTTGCACATGCTATTGCCATACCCAGGAGCTCGTTTACTATATTTGTTTAATTTATTGCAATTATACACTGTCTTAAGCTTGACCATGAGCAAATGTTAATCGATCAATTAAATCCATTCTCCAAAATAGTGAGTAATTCGTAAATTTAGTAACAGTAAGAGGAAGTAAAAGGTCTTCATTTGAGGATTCAAAGTTTGAAAGGCTTTAAATAAGCAAGCAAAACAATAGTACCACCACGTAACATATATCCAAAGGAACCACAAATCTTCAATCTAGTTGCGTAGAAAGCAACGTTCGTTCATTCCAAATTTCTGTAAGCACATGTAAAACTTGGAGACATACTTAGGTAGCAGTACGCTAAATTTACACAAAAGAAATGGCATTAAAACAAAATAAAATAGTTAGTGCATGATCGCAAATGAAAAGTGGATTCTACATAGTTATCTGAATTTAAAAGAGACAAGATTCTGCGTAAGGCAAGATTCCGTTAAATTAATCCAGGTTATAAAACGTGACGAATTGATGTAAATTTTAGTCGTGATAACCAGAGTTCTTCTCCAAAATGGCGGCTGGAAGTCGCGAAAATATAGCTGACTGAATACGATCATGTGGCAGCGATAGGACAGATCGTTTCACTTACTTCGCATCCTCCAAGATGCCATTCGACCCCCAATTACGGAATTGTATGACCTCGTCGTGTAATTAATCGGAGCTTACAGAGTAGAGTGCTACGCACTCGGGATTTTGTTATCTGGCAAATTGACTCGACGTACTTCAGCAAAACATTTGACGAAAACGTCAAAATTGAATCGGCTATTTTTATGCACTTGGGATATTACTGTTGAATATTTCGCAAGATAACTTCCCGCGAGCAAATTTACCTGGGAACGTACTTTGTTATGATAAATTTGCGGAAGGGAATTTTATCAGAAAAATAGTAGGGGACTCTAGAATTGAGTAACACAGTAGTTATTCTAAAGAGAGTTTTTTTAAAGGCAATCCGCTTTCCAGAACGTGGCTGTACCTCGTCGCAAGTTCTTACTAAGCAAGCATTCGTACAGTCTGCAAATTTTCCTTGTAGGCGAAATTACATGGGGGAAATAGAAATAGAAAGAAAATTTGTTAAGTCGCTTGTGAGCAAGAGGCAAAGAGTGCACTTTCAAATTTGACACCACCAATTATACAAAGTCTGTAAGTGATGTAGTTCTGGACTCTTTAGAGACTTACAGATTATGAGTTTAAAATAAAATGATAACTTTATATACAAATTTACAGTATGACGTTGTGCCTTCTTATTTTTCTGACCTTGCTATCGTATATATAACAGTGCTAATTACATTATTTGGTAATATCATTGAATAATAAATCTGATTCAATGGTAATATCCACAGCGATGCGCAATAGACAAATAAACAATTTTTGCCATTAATTGCATGATTGGAATGTGTTCTAATTTTACATTATACTGACCCTAATTCTCTTTTATGATCTGATTTTAACTGTAACTTTTAATTACTTGCGATTACACAGTATGCACGTTTTATTTTCAAAAACAGCATCTCAGGAAATAATTCGTGGGGGGGAGGCTTTTAGACAGCGAAATTTGATGGCCGTCTAGCACATCTTCAAGGTATAGGCTACCTACTGCAAAAAATTCCAGGACTCTAGGACCATTCTCCTAGAAGTAGTTCAAAACGGTAGAAGTGGGTCCGGACGGACGGACAAAATGCAAACAATAGCACATTTTTTTAATTATTAAAAAATGCGCTAAAAATTATATACATTTACCGCTGTGGTCCAAACCCTAGTAGATATCATTTTTTCAGACACCTGAAATAAGCTGAAAAATAAACTGGAATAAAACTTGTTCAAATAATTCCCGGCAATAGCATGACGTTTCAAATTAAATCACTCATTGAAAGAAAATTGATTGAGAAACGGCTCCTTTCCCCTTTTTACTTGATTGATTAAATTTTTGTTGTGAGTGCAATTTCCTAGTTACCAAATAATAACAATTCCAACGTAATAATCGCGCACATATTAATATAGTCAAAATTGATCCAGTTTACAAACTTTTTTCCTTAAGATACTCGATTAACCTTTTCCAAATCATTCTTTTTTCTAAATTTTAAATCCGTGATCACGTGTATACAACCTTTTAATTCCTAAATCTCTTTTACTTTCTAGCAATAGAATAACTATTCCCAAATACTTTCACTACTTGAATACCTGTTTGCTATTATTTGACCTTCCTAAAAGGAAGTTTTTATTAAATAACTTCTACGTAAATGACTTAGAAATTTAAATTGCATCATTTTCAAT